AGTATGAGCCAATCAGTGGCAGTAATGACAGAGCATGCGCTGTTACGCAAAAACCGCGATAGAGTGAAGCCGCGGAAGTCGAAGCGCGAAGTGGTTCACTGTACAGTGTAGGCAAGGTATCTCAAGTTGGTCTAATCTAGGCCATCTGGCAGTCCATGCTTCAGTGAACCAACCAAATAAAGAATTAGATCCTCTCTTAGCCTCTCTCGCTGAGATATTGAAAGAAGAATCTGTGTTTAGGGGTCCCGTATCCAGAAACTCAGACTGGTCTAATATTATGTTTCTTGCACCAGTATCCAACATCCTTAGTAACCATTCCCAGGGAGATTCCCCAGGCTTCTGCTTGTACGTATTTGAAAACTCAAGCAGATCTTTGTGAGTATAGCATGCTTCTTCTTGGGTAATCATCTCAACCTCACCTTTAAGAGCTTTCTGAGCCTTAATTTTAGTGACAGGTCTAGAGGAAATAATGGGTTGTGAGGGTGTTTCCCTGGTGCTCTCAGCAATATCTTATAAGGCATCTCCCTCAGGCAATGCTACCAATGCAGCCCCACCTGGCATTTCAGCTTGAACAGTTTGGTTAATCTGCTCAGGTGTGGGTTGTTTCATTGATAGTGGATTAATACCTTCAGCTGGGAGGGTGAATTTATTGACTGGGGTGGCTCAATTTTTTCTAGGAGGCTCAATGTCCTCCTCTTCTCGATCATCAGTCCATATATTCCCATCCCATGTTTCAGAGTCCCAATTTTTTCCTATCGATGCCCTCATTTTGGTATCAGACACTGCTCTAGATTTGTGCTCTAGAATTGTGCTCTAGACTCACAATTCAGCTGACATTGTAATGCAGCCATTCCCATGATGAGACTCTGGACCTGGTTCTCAGCAATATCAGCTCTATTACTCGAGGAGAAAAGGCTCTCCTTGTAGCACAGGAGGAAGCTTTTAGGTTTGTTATTCAGCACCTGAAGTGTGCTTCTGAGGTTCTGAGACCATCCTTCTCCTTAATAACCCTTTCCATTGTAAGAAGGACCAGTCAACCAGCTTCCATATATTTGTCATCCTGACAATACTGCTGGAAAATATCAAACATACGATCACCCGGAGCCTCTTCTTTAATCAGCACTTCATCTATTGGTGATGACACTGCAGGTATTAGTTTTACTACTTCACACCATGGATTAGTAATCGTGGCAGACTTATCCATGCCTTCAGCTGTAGAAATAGCATTATCAGTGCTGTTACACCTAATCAGACTGGAGAGCCAATTGAAGAAGCCCATATTTATGATTTTATTTCTCTAGAACCACTCCTGGTACCAATTATGTTAGACAGGGTTCTCTACAGAAACAAAACCAGGACACTAATAATTTTATATATATTTATATAGAGAGATAGACATATGACATAAGAAATAAACAGTTATTCTATAGAGCAGTACAAATGGCTCAGTGCAACTCACTTCCATGAGACAACTAATACACTGGTAGTCCTCAAGTCTTGAGGGCTGCCTAGTAGTTTTATGTAGAGCAATTCAGACTATCCGGTCACAGGCAGCCAATGGCAAGGCAGGTCACCAACAGTCAGGGTCCGAAGTCCCCAGCTCAAGCAATGTATACTCCAGTAGTGTGGCAAAGCATGTCCTGAAGGAACCTTAAACTACAGTGACACAGTCCATGGGTTCGGTGTCCCACAGCTAGCATAGCTTGCAAATTGAGGCAGAGGACAAGCTAAGGCAGTTGCATACTGGTCCGCTCATCAAAGAGCAAGAGTTACAAGAAAGGCGAGGCTTGCTGAGCTATTTAACTCTCTGCCCTACAATTAATCCCACATGTGTTCGTTGTTCATGTTGACACAATAAACCTACCTGTCACACATTGTCACCCATAGCTGTCTGCAAACTGGGTGTTCACCATTTAGACTCTTCTTTTAGATTTGGATCTTACTATTTACCCTCCTTGGAGCATACTGGCTGGTGTGTGTATTCCATGGAGACTTAGTTAATGTCTCCCTTAGATGGCTACTTTTTTTTAAGACAAGCCTTTAAAATCCCAGACAATATTCTTTCTGATAGCCAGGTTCAATCTGTTTTATTCACCACACTCATTGTAGCACTTAGAGCTTTAGTGATTTCTTCTTGAGGGTGAGTATTGAGTAGCAACATGTCATGAGAACTAATGAACTGTTCTTAGGTAAGGGCTATGAGATTATTGACTAACCGTTCTTGAGCTCTACTGACCTGACCTCATGTCTTGGGAAGGGGTCAGAGGGCTAGGAAACCTTCTCAATAGACTAAGTGACAGATTCCTGGCTGAACTCTGATAAGTATGATTGACAAAAACCTTGACAATTTCCATGACCAAATTTGTAAATACATTTCTGCCTTTTCAAAGAATAAGCCATTTCTTCCCAAGGATGTTGTTATAAGATAAAAATGGTAAAAGGAAAATTATTATATGCGCATTATAATAATTGCATTTAGATCTTTCAAGAGAGTTTTAATTTTGTATTAGATGATAAGCACTAATTTAGCTATCCAAAATATCATCCTGGCAAATCTTCGTGAAACCGGCATTTATTTTTTAAATATAAAACAAGTGGAAACAACTTTAATAGCCAACGAAAGGATTGGTGGTAGATGGCAGGAGGAAATGGGGAGTGTTTAGTAATCTTATCTCTGAATTTGAGTACTGATCCTATAAGTCAGCGGTTCTCAACCTCTGGGTCATGACCACTTTGGGGGTTTAACCACCCTTTCACAGGGGTCACCCAACACATAACAGTAGAAAAATTACAGATACAAAGTAGCAACAAAAGTAATTTTATGGCTGGGGGGTCTCACCACAACATGAGGAACTGTATTAAAGCCTTGCAGCATTAAGAAGGTTGAGAACCACTGCTGTAAGTGGTCATTTTTGTCTAGTAGTGGAATCTCTTTTCTCCCTAATCCTCCACCTTCAAGCTACTTGCAATGAAAACTGTCCTTCTAGGAAAGTTTCCATCTAAACACATGGAAATCCACAACCCATATGATTTTAAAAATGATAATTATAAAGCTTTTCATACAAGAAAATTAAATTGACATCATATTAAGTAAAAAGTATAGTTAAAGAGTTGTGTTAGAGAGATTGAATTCTGGATGCTATTTTAATAACAGTCTTAGTGTAATCATAATATGATTAGGCAACAAATAACAATGAGAAAATAACTATGCTTTTATTCAGCAACATATTTTGTCTTCAAGTGAGCCATTTTCCTCTCCACCTCTTAGGAGGAGATATTTTATTTAGGTGAAAAAGCAAATAACCAAAATCCTATTTTTAAAAATACTTTTGGTGGTGCTATATACATGGAATAAAAACTTACCTTTTAGGAAACTACACTGACGTAATATGAAAAGAAAACAACATATAGATGGATGTCATTAGGCTCAAATATTATGCGATATAAATCTTGGCTAAATTCCTTTCTAAGGGTTTCTTTATTGGTCATGACCACACCACTTAAGAAATTGAGTCGAATATAAGAAGAATTAGAAAAGAGATAGGGTTTTCTTCTTTTATTTTAAGCAAACAAACCAAGCGAAAGTTATACTTTTATAGATCCTTGATTTATAAATTTAAGTTAAGCAGAATGTAGGGATTTTTATCACATATAAGCCATATGAAAACTATCAAAAGAAAAAAAGCTCCTAACTTCTCCATAGCTAATACACAGTTTAAGTGTCAAAGAGGGACACAATGGTTCCATTGACCTCCACAATCTATTTTATCATTTTAAATGGTTCCATAAATCCCCCCCAAGTCTACTGCCATCGAGTATACTTCAACTCATAAAGATTCTATAAGACAGAGTGAAACTGCTCCTTTTGTGTTTCCAGGGATGTAAATCATTTTTGGAGCAGGAAGCCACATGTTTTTCCTCTAGACCCACTGGTGGAACTCAACTGCTAACCACCTAAACGACTAGGGCTCCTAAGGATCTCATAGATATGGAAGTTAATAATGTAAACAAATCACTTTCAATAGGTACAATATCATTATTTCAAACTTTGGATAATTAGGAAATTCTAATTATTTATTGTAAGACTATACTGACCTAATCATAGAAAAATCATATAGTCTCTCCTAGCTTATGCTAGAAAGCCCCACAACT